CCCAAATCGATCCTTATATCCTCCTTATTTCCACCAACTAGACCCATGAACTAAGTTCTTTTCATTTGACTGGCTACTCTAATAAGCTCACCACACAAGTGATATAGATTGGCCAAAGACCACAGGGCATTTGGTATACCATGGGTCCCCCCTCGTAGAATTAATGGGGTGTCATAGTCCGGACAATCATAGTGGCCAACCATAAAGCTCCGTATGAAAGCCAATAGCACATGACAAGTATAAAAATCTTAATAACTCCAATCATCTCCTTTCCCCACCCAAACTAGATACACAAGGTTCACAATTACACATTTATATGCATAATCAATTGAATTCCAGAATAATATCTCATAGTCATAATCATTAATTTCTAACAATACAAATGATTTCAATCCTTTTCAAAATAGCATTCCACAAGAGAGTTCATACAAGACATAATATATTCATGTAAAAATTGGTTATAGAACCACTCACTAACTTCATACCAGAGCATACAATAGAAAAAAATTTAGTTATCTGGTCTCATAACTAACAGTCAAATACAACCAAAGTCCAACCTCAAAAATGCCACAATAGGGTTTATATCTACAAATGAAATTAAAATGTTGTCTCTATAGTATTAGAGTTGGTTGCTCACAAAATCCTAGCCTCTAACCCCTTCTCTAAAAGCTTCAACTTTTACTTAGAATTCTAGCTTAAAAGGCCTTTTTCTAAGGTTTGGAATGAGAACATATATATATGATCTAGACTAGATTCTTAAATTTTTCTTTGTTTAAATATCCTTTAATTATTAGATTATATCATTAAAATCATCAAATTCATAATGTAGGTAGAAAAACCCCAATTTATAACTTATATTCTATCTTCGAAGGATTTAGATAAATAGATTTAATACGAGTTGGGTTATTCTCACTACAGAAATTAAACCATTGATCTGACCGTTAAATTTAACTTCCTATCTATCATGATACTATTATCCAAATTATGGCTCAATCTAACGGTGAACGAACTTCAACATGCTAATTTACTATTTAGGACTCTATCTACCAAATCTTAAAAAAAGAGGTTGAAAACGTACATTATAACTTATAACTTAGAGATTGAACAGACGATCCAACCGTTGAAATTGATGATTTGGATGTCCCAAATGAGCTGACCAAGTTTTAGTTCGATCCAAGGGTTAACAAACTCAACACTAGTACTTTTTTGAGACTACCTCAAATATGTGTGAAAATTGTTTACTCACTCCAAACTCCACCTACCACCTCCTATATATAGGCTATTTAAGCTCCTTCACTCTAGTAATTAGTCGATCTGGGACTTCTATACCATGCTATACTTTTTATAATATCACCCACACACACACAAAAACATGATTAAAATAATAATAATAATAATTTTCCTATATTTAAATTTTTATTAACTTAATACTAAAATATATTTATTTATAAATTTAATTGAATTCTAGATAAAAAAAAATAAGGATGTTACAAGGATACTCTAAACGTAAAAAGTGGCTTTAAAATGTCTCAAAAAATTGAACATAAACGTAAAAAATTTCAGATTAACTATTAAATTTGATAACATAGACTGGAGGACAAATAGATAACTCCATATGCCATTAGTATAAATAACTTATTTTCAAAAGACTTATAATGTCTATTAAAAGAAAAGACTGGGGATATAAAAAAGCTTATCTTTAAAAAGCAATTAATTTAAGCTTAAACTTTTTTACATGAGTTATTTTAATTATAAAAAATTATTATAATTAATAATCTCTAATACACTCTAATGCAATGACTCTTCAAAAATGGGGATATTTTGATACTTTCATTAAAAATTACATGGTGTTTGGTGAACTTTTGGTATAAGTCAATTGGTATTTTTAACGCTTAACTTTTTTTTATTTTAATTAGGGGCATTTTGGTACTTTCATAAAAAAAAACCATGGGTCCCACTGCTAAAAAAACAAACATTAACAGCACTGGTATTATTGACCTTTTTAAACTTTGATTAGTAGATTTAAATCTAAAAAAAGTTCATAGTGTTAAGTGAACTTTTGATATATTTTTATAGGTATTTTTGACCTTTAATCCTATATTTAAATATATGAAAGTATGTAAGAAGTTACAACACCAAAAGACACCAAGATTAATTTCTTAAGACATATATAAAAAGGTGTGATAACCACCACTTGTTAAAAGATTGTGTTGTTTTTAAAGAAAACCCTATATATTAAAAAACGTAACTCTTCATGAAAGGATATTAAATATCCTTTAGTTATTTAAATTATGTTTGGTTTATGAACCAACATATATAGTTATGACTTTTAATTGAAGAGGTATTGTTCTAAAAAGCATCTCTTGGAGGCATTACTACATGGTCTATGTAAAACCCTTATCATCACTTCATTTGTACGCAACACAAATACACAAACAAACCAAGATCAAACTTGTTACTTTTGTTCTTGAACGCACTCAAAGATAAAGTCAAATTATCTCTTTGTAAAAGTCATTGTTGTCTTGACTTGAGTCTTAAAGTACAATTCATACTCAAGAGTTTTCATTGTATTATAAAGAAAATTCATCATTTAACCCAACTTATATTCCATAAGATAGGAATAGGTGGAGATAAATTAAGCCTTAAAGAAAATACTGTCCAAACCTTAAAAACATCATGTACCACTTTGTTCTTCATCTCTTCTTCTTGTACTGATATTCAAAGAATTATTGCCGTCAACAATATGTCTTTCTTCTAATTTTGGAAAGCCATAGAAGAAAGAAAAAAAACACCAAACATCATTGATTAGTACATTAATATGGACCCAATGGTCCAATCTTACCCTTAATTTACAATGGTGGATTTGGGGGAGAGAAAAAAAAAAAGGGAAAAAAAGATTTTCACTCACGAATACCTTTCCAAGAGCAACATGAACACATTTGAGTTTTAATATCCAAATATATAAGATATGACAAATTTTAACTCATGATAAATAAATAATTTTTGAATAAATGAAGGATGAAAGGAATAAATCGCTCATTTTGGGATTTTCTAATCGCTGCAGCCAAGTATCCATGTCTTTGCTTTCACTTGATTATCACTTCCTACAATTGGCTGAGTTAGTTTACGTAGTTGCTATTAATTTTTGTTTTTTAAAATAAAGAGAAGAGAGAGAGAGAGGAATTGAATTCATAAACCATGTTAAAAATTGCAAATGCAAGCCAAAGCAGGAGGCTGATGTGGCGAACGAGTTGGCAAACAGTGGCTTCGAATTGGAACTACGTTGCCTCCTCTTTTTGTAAAGCCATTCCTATTTCCGTTGTAAAAGCTCTTCTGGCTCTCTCTATAAGTTCAAAATCTCATCTGATTCCACCTTTAACAATATGTTTGGTACCAGGAAAATAAAGAGGAGGGGAAGAAAAATTTTAATAAACTTACTTTAAAAAATTAGAGATGTGAGTTTTTAAAATTTTAATAAAAAAATATAAGATAAAAATAATAAAAATTAATTAAAAAATTTTAGAAAAAATTAAAGAGAATGACTTAGATAAAATAATATTTATTAAAGAGGATCTTAAAAATTATAATTGTCTAAAAGAATTAAATTTAAATATACTAAACTGCCCATAACTAAATTCTTAAATTTCCTCTAATCATATCTCTCTTTTTCTGCATATTTTGAAGACCAACTACTATAATATATAAAATATTTCATATTTTAATGATATTAGATTAAAAGTAAAAATTTATCACTTTCACATAAATCAATAAATAAGCAAAAAAATCAATTCCATATATTGGTTTTTGATTTTTTTTTCACATACTATTTTTTATTGTCATCAATTTTTTGTAATTTTTTTTCTTGATCTTGTTTTGTGTGTTTTAATGTAAAAAATAATTAAAAAATTATTAGAATTAACAGAATGAGAAATTTGGATATAAAAATGAATTCGGATAATATCATTTATTTAATTATTTAATATTTTAAAAAATTGAATTGAGAAAAATATTTAGAAAAAATTTTAATTGTATTTATTGAAATCAATTAAAATATATTTCTTAAATTAAATATATTATAATGTATATGTACACACACATATTGTAAAAACAATTTATAAAACAAAAAAAGAAAAGAAAGAGATATTTTAGGAAAAATTAATTAAATTGAAAATACTGATGAGAAAAAGATTATAAAAAAATTTTAGTCAAAATTAAGGAGATCATAAAAAAAATTCAATAGAGGTATGATAAGAGAAAATGTAGGAATTTAGTTAAGGATAATTTAGTATCTTTAAATCTGTATTTTACGGTTTGGTCTTTAAAAATAATTTAGTTTTAAAGATCTTTCCCAATAAATATTATTTTTTGGGTTCTTCTCCTTAATCTTTTTCAAATTTAAACTCATTTTACCGATTTTGTAAATTGAGTTCCTGAAAATTTTTTCTCTGCTCCCGATCATTTTTCTCAAAGGGATTCCAAGTAATACAAATTCAATTATCCAGGTGTCACTGCCCAGTCTGGTTCTTTTTTTTTTTTTGGTCCAAATGCCCAGTCTGGTTCGGAATTGGAGATTGGTGATTTTCTAGGAATTGGAAGTGCATAGTGGAGTGGGGGAGTGAAACAATTGGTAGGCACTGTGTACGGCCACTGATAATTGATGTGACCAGGCCACCTCATTATCTACGTGAGCCTCTGGTAGCCACTTGCCCACATCCCACATTTGTAAAAGTTTCGGGGTTAGTATAATCCTCAACTTTACTTTACATAAATTTTTGTTTTAAAATTTATATTAATTCAAAATTTTATTATTATTTTATCTTCCTTTAAGAAATAAACATGAAAAGATATTCGGGAGGAGGGCTTCAAGTCTAATACGACTGCGTAGTGCTGACCGGAGCGGAGACCACAAAATGGGCCTTGACTTGTCTTGACCCTGCTCCTTCCTCCTTCTTTCCCCTTGCTTTTTCCCATTATAAATGCCTTCACCCATTTTCTCACCTCATCGCTTCAATTCTCCATTTCTCTCTCTATTTCCCTCCCCGCCTCTGATCTCTCTCTCTCTAAATTCGCCATTAACAATCTTCACCAGTTCAACATCATGAAGGTGAGAATTTCTCCCCCACTTTCACTCTCCTACTTATCTCCTTCATTTATGTATAGATTTTTCTGATTCAATTTCCTCTCTCTGTTTCCTCAGAAAGTGATTCTCAAGGTAGAGCTACACGACGAGTCAATCAAGAAGAAAGCCATGAAGGCTGTGTCTGGGCTTCCAGGTAATTAACGAAATTTCATCACTTTCTGATCATAATCTTCTTCCTCGTTCGAAACCCAGATCAGAAAATTCGGAAAGATTAATGGGTTCTTCTTCCTTTTTGCAGGGGTTGATTCTGTGTCTGTGGACATGAAAGACAAGAAATTAACCCTAATAGGGGACATCGATCCGGTGAACATAGTGGGGAAGCTGAGAAAACTGTGTCACACAGAGATAGTTTCAGTGGGACCTGCAAAAGAAGAGAAGAAGAAGGAAGAGCCAAAGAAAGAAGAGAAGAAGGAAGAAAAGAAGGAAGAAAAGAAGAAAGACGAAAAGGAACAAATGGCTGATCTTCTTAAGGCTTATCAGAATTATTATCAGAATCAGATGAAAACACAATATTACTATCCTCCTCAATATCCTGCTTACTATGCAAGAAGTGTGGAAGAAGATCCAAATGCTTGTGTTATCTGCTAAATTTGTATACATATTTGAGTCAGTTTGATGCAGAATAAGTGGGAATATTGACGAAGTGAGAGTAATTTTCTGGTTTCTGGGTTTACAGACAGAGGAATCTGCTGTAGATGTACAGTATTTGCTCTTTCGCAGCATAGTGAGGGATTAATTTTTGTTTAAATTAAATATCTAAATTTTAATGCTGTTTTTGTTCATAAGCTGTTATTAATTAATTATTATTTTGGTTGGTTTCAATTTCTTGCGAGGTGCGTAAAAACACTTGGTGTTGTAATTTTTTAGGTTTGATTTGTGAGACTGTTTGGTGAGGTTGGTTGATCGCTTTGAATAAGAAATATTATTCCAGAAAGAATTGGTGAAGATATGTGACAACTAACACTATTGTTAGAATTACACGAAAGACACATGGCTTTATTTTAATTTAACCAGTTTACTGTAAAATATAATATGTCAAAAGAGAGCCACAGGACTTTTCTGTTTCTTTTGTTTTTACTGGAAAAATCAAAGTACCACAAACGTCGTGTGATGGGGGTTTAATTTTATGGATGATAGAAACAAAATTATTATCAAAGAGCCGTGAGGAATTAAACTAGCTACAAAGCCGACATTTAAATATATGTTTAATATTGCGTAATTTTTTATGGGAGCGATGATGTTGATACCACAATACTACCGTTTTCTAAATGTAAGAACATTCAGGGAATAGATTTTTATTTTAAATAGGGAAAATTTCAAACAAATATACTTAAATTTCAAAATTCCTAAAAAGTGATATGAATTTAACAAATTTCAAATTAATCATAAGAACTAAATTGAAATTTTGAAATGGTGAATTTACAATTTTGGGCTTTAACATTCTGAAAAAAAATTTTTGTCACCTTCACTTGTCAGCCGGCCAATTATCGAAGCACCAACATTGGCGACCCTCAACAACCCATGCAGAGAAGTTCAGGTGGGCCGTTAGTTATTGGAGTTTCGGCAATCAGCAACTATTTTTTTGGAGATTTTTTCAAGATTCATAATCGTGATTAACAATTCTTATAGCGATTGTCACAATTTCGTTAAATGACATTAATCCCGTGCTTTTCAGGTTTTTTTTTTTGACCGGAGGTGCTTTTCAGGTTTTTGAACTAAAATTTTTTCAACATTTGTAATTTGATTAATAACTCTTATAATGATATTCACAACCTCATTAAATGTCATTAACCATTTTATGTGATATGTTTTAAAACTTGGAGAAATTAAGGGAATGGGAACCACATGTTAAACTTTTATATAATGATATTCCCAACTCCATTAATACAATTTTTTGTTATAGGAGTTGTTAATCATGTTACAAATATTGGAAAAAAAATCTTAGTTTTAAAACCTGAAAACATGTGGTTATAGCATTAATGGAATCGTGAATATTATTATAAGAATTATTAATCACATTATAAATATTAAAAAAATCCCTAAAAAATTAGTCCCCAGCCACCGAAACTTTGGTGATTGGCTACTCATCTGAACTCTAGCATGGGTTATTGGCAGTGAGCTGGAAGGTGAGGGTGACTTAAGATTTTTTTTTTTTTGAAAAACAAGTAAAGAGTAAAATTGTAAATTTCTTAACATTCTAAAGTTCTAATTTAGTCACTTAGGTTAATTTGGAATTTGTTAAATTCAAGTGACCATTTAGGAATTTTGAAATTTAAGTATATTTTTTTGGAATTTTTTTAAATACAAGATTTTAATTTATTATATTTATTATTTTTCGGTGAAAATTAGATTTATTATTTTGTAAACTAATTTACCTAACTTATAAATTGATATATAATCTAATATTTCACAAGGTTATTTTAAGTAAATTTGTTCACACGTTACTAACTTATAAATTGATATATATTTAATAGATAACAGTACCTTAAATAGGATTACCTCCCATAAAAAAATAATGCTTATAAAAATGGTCACTTATTTAGCTTTTTTCAATCTAAGCAAAATTGTCACATCCCAAATTTTGGGTCTAGAAGTATCGAAATTAGCCTGAAATGGGTAGGCCACCAGAGCCCTTTTGATAGAGGTCCCAGAGGTTTCCTGGAGGGACAGAGGGATTTTCAGGGACTAAATCGTAAATGAAAAGTTTGCCGGGACTGAGAAAAAAGAAAGTTAGAGACTCTAGTTAGATCTTAAGATCCAGGAATGAGAAATGGAGATGAATGTATGCCAAAGATTATGCTAGAGGCCTCAATGAGGTGAATTATGAGGTAAAAATGAACCAAAGGTAAAATCATAATTTTGTAAAGTTTTAGGCTGTAAGGGCAAAAATGAAAATTGTGCCTGAAAATCCTAGAAAAATCTCAAAAAATAGGAAATGGTATGTTAAGACCTGTATGGGAAGTTTAGGAGTCCAGAGATTGAGGTAATTAAAGGTCAAAGGTTGTACTCGGAACCTCAGTAAGAGGATTCCTGAGGATAAACCCAAGCAAGGACTAAAATGCAAATTTGAAAATTTTCAGGCCAAGAAGGGTGTAGATGGAAAGTTGACCTGAATACTTTAGAAAAATTTCAAAAAAATAAGGATGAGGTCCATAGGCCTGTATGGGGCTAAAAATGATTAAAATGCCCCTAGAAGAAATTTGTGGAATTTTAAGGGTTTCAGCTAATTTTGAATATTAGCAGAAATTGAATTATTTAAAATATAAGGAGGCCTCAGATAATTAGAAGAAAATGAAAAAAAATACTTGAGAAATTATTACAGGTTTTAAAAATAATTCTGTCCCCAGAAAGTGACTAGGTTGTCTTTAATAGAATTTAAAACCTATTTATACACTATCCGAGGAAAGTCATAGTCAATTGTCTAGAGGTTAACTTTTGACTTAATTAAAATTAGAGAAATTTCCCATGATGAATAAATAGCATTGATACCCGGAGACGAATTTTCAAAGTTGTGGATCGGTAGAAAGAATTCGATCAAATTTACTCCAAAATAAATATTATTAATTATTTTAATGGAAGAAATAAATATTATTAATTGTTGTAATGGAAGAACAAGGAAAGAGCATCACTTTATCTTTAGGCATATTATACAATGCCATGTGGACTTATTTGAGATAAAAAAAAAACGGTGCCAGAACATGTCCTAGTGGTACATGGTAAGTTAGGGTTCGAAACAGTACCCGATACAGTGCATAATGACAAGATAGGTAGAGGAATACCTAAGGGCTGTATTTTGAACGAATTTTATAATAATTTTCTCCCTATCTTAATGCCAAAATGATGAAGGGACATGGAAGAGACAAGTGTATGATTAAATGAAAGACAAGTGTACTGTTGGATGAAAAACATTTGTACGGTTGGATGTAAGACACATGTACAGTCAGATACAAGACACATGAATGGTTGGATTGAAGACATGTGGTTTGATGATGTGAGAATGGAATAAGTATGATGATGTAAGCATGATGTCATAGAGACACTTGTCACCACAAGACAAAGAGGAGAAATGGACGGTCAAGATTAAGCCACATATTTTCAAAATCAATGGCTAGGATTTGTTCTTAAACTCTATAAATACCCCCTTCCTTGCCCTCATTTCGTCTAAGCTCAAGGAAACCATGAGAAAACTCTTGCAAAATAGATTCTAGAGAGAGAAAGAAGAGGGAGAGAGAAAGGCCAAGTGATCATACGCAAGATCAAGCTCCAAAACAAGATATGTTCATGGTTTTTGATGTAGTTTTCACTATTCTTGTTATTGTTGAGCTTGGTTATGGATTTTAGTGATTTTTGTGAGCTTGAAACCCTAAGGAGGTATGCTGCACGAAATTTCTAAGTTAAGGGGAAGATGAAATTGATGTTAGAATAATGTTTAAAGGCTTCAAAATAACAAGAATCAAGTGGTTTTATATTGAAATACGTTGAACTTCATGATTATGTAACTAGAGTAACATTTTGGCTAGAGCTAGTTCTTGGGGTTAGTATTGGATTTTGATAATTTTGATGCTTCCAATGTGTTCAAAATGAAAAATTGTGTGGGGTAAAGGTGAGAAAACAAGTTTGGAAGCATTAGAATTGAAAATGGAATTTTACGCCCTAAGACCTATGTTCGGCCAGATCAGTTTGAATAGGAAGGAGTTTGATTTTGATAATTTTGAGCTTGGAAATGGATTCTACATATAAAATTGTGTGGAATAGCATGTGGAACTAATTTTAGAAAGGTTGAAAATCAAACCCAAAAGTTAGAAGTTAATGTAGTTCAAAGAAAACAAAGAATTGATGTTGTTGATTACCATAGCTCTAATGAATGAATGGCAATGATTTGTTGATGTATTTAGGGCCATGAGAAATTGAGGAAGATGAATGGCAAAGGTTGAGTAAGCAACCTTAATGGTTGGAAGAAAAAAGGAGTAAGAAGAAAGCTTAAAGATTACAAGGTAGTGAACTTACCTTTCATATGTACTTGATAAGTATGTTTGTGTGTTGATGTGCATTATGGGATTAGATGATGACATGTGATGTAAATGCAATTATGATGCTCTGTTTCATTGATGTTTTCTATGGCCATGCATGTTTATATGAAACACTGAGTATAAGAAAATGTTATAAGCAAGTATGAGCTAAATCAAGAAAGCATGCCATACACTTGCATCTATCTTACATGCATTGATGGTAATGTTTGCTATTGAGATTCTCCTGAACCCCACACTCCCTTAACCAACCATAATAGGTGATAATGATCAAACAAAAGATGTATAAAGTGGAAGCAAGGAAAGAGGAAAAGAGTTGAAGAAATTTATTGTATTACATTGTATAATTTATATGAGAATGTATGATATACTTGTGCCATAAAGATTGTGTGATGATAATTATGATGATGGCATGTGCAATTGACTATGATGCTGTATGGGAATGGCTGATGCTTGAATGGAAAGGTATTATGCAAGGAAAGAATTAATTATGATTTATTAATACAAGTTAAGGGAATAAACTATCCCTAATTAAGCAACAAAATTGAGATAGAGTGGAACTGAAGAAAACGATTGATTCTGCCCATAAAATTTGGTATGGTTAAAGTACACATTCTGAGCTTTAAAACAAATGGTAGATCACCTAAAATGAATGTGTGTGCTAAGAGTTATGCTTGATCAAATTTAGAGTAGAGAAATTGGAATGTATAGTTTTGACTAAATGAACAGTAAAGTTCAACAAATAAACTGTATAAATTAGCAAGGATTAAGTCCCATTTTATATTTTTTGTTCTA